ACCGGACGCACTGCGTAAGCAGGCTATAGAGGCGCTTCTCAGGGATCAGGGTTTCGGGTGTAGGGCTTAGGGCAATAGCCTTTTGAGGCAGGAGTCGCTTAGGACCGTCGAGGGAACGTCGGGGGCTTTAAGAGCAATACGTTTGTGCATAAACAGATTTCATGTACAGACATATGTAAAGCTGTGAGACCTAGTCGAGCACCAGTGCACGTATCGGTCGTGTGTGCCTAAAGCCTTCTGAATCTCGGCTCCAGAGTTCGAAAGTTTAGATGAAACATCAAAAAGGGTACCCCTATTTTCGGAAACCCCCATATGAACCATCACAAACCCTAAACCCTACACCCTAAACCCTAAACCCCAAACCCTAAACCCTAAACCCTAAACCCTAAACCTTAAACCCTAAACCCTAAACCCTAAACCCTGTAAACCCTAAACCCTGAATTGCCGGGCGGTTACCGTGCTGGCCCCCCCCACTCAGACGAAGAGCGACGGTCTCGGGCCTGAGTGCAGACTCCAGCTAGCAGCGGGCCCTTCCACGCACCCTGTTACCCCTAAACCCTAAACCCTAAACCCTAAACCCTAAACCCTAAACCCTAAACCCTAAACCCTAAACCCTAAACCCTAAACCTCCTAAACCCTAAAAGGGTTCGGGGCTTCCGGTGGGCTTGAGGGGGGAGCTTTGGAGCTGCTAAGGTTGAATTCGTCTGCGGCTCGCTAGAATACCGGACCCGAGCCCAAAACACCCACAGCATTACGAACTTCTTAAGTTGCCCTTTAAAAGCCCTACAGAAACCCTCATTCAAAAAAGGCAAGGCCCTAAACCCTAAACCCTAAACCCTAAACCCTAAACCCTAAACCCTAAACCCTAAACCCTAAACCCTAAACCCTAAACCCTAAACCCTAAACCCTAAACCTCCCTTCCCCACGCATCTTCCAGGGCTCCGGCGGCTGGACTTCTCCGCGAACCTCGAAGCAATCGGATCGCCGCAGGCCTGCACCATGAGGGCAAAAAGGGGTTGGGGGTTTGGGGTTTGGGGTTTAGGGTTTAGGGTTTGGGGTTTAGGGTTCAGGGTTTAGGGTTTAGCGTCAGGGCATTAGGGGTTTACAGGCTTTATAGGGCCGGGCCTCGAATGTTCAAGGGGCGTAGGGTTTAAAGGCTGTGTAGGGTCTACAGGGTTTGCAGGGTTTGTGGGGTTTTCGGTCTTTATAGGGTTTGTAAGGTTTTCGGCGACGGACATCAAACCGTACAATTTGCAGGCGTAGGACCCTAAACAAAACTCCTAAACCCGACCCATCCCGAAACCGCAAAACAGCCCCACGAGCGGGGCGCGCCATTCTGATTCGCTCCGGGGTCAGGGGCAGGTCCACCACGAAGAAGTCGTCGCCCATACCGGCGTCCTGAAAAACATCTGAAAAGTACCCCCTGAGCCCGGCTGGGTTTCGTGCTGAGGGCATCTCGCTTCTGGGTTCCAAAGCAACCCTGAACCCTATTCAAACCCTAAACCCTAAACCCCAAACAAGTTGGCCAGTTGATTCGGTCCAGGTTTGGGGGTGTACATAGGGATCAGGGTTTCGAATACAACGGGATTGTAGGGTGGAGAGTGTAGAGTTCTCTTAAGGTTTAGATCCCAGATGATACCACACTGGTTTAGGGTTTAGGGGTTTAGGGGTTTAGGGGTTTAGGGGTTTAGGGTTTAGGGTTTAGGGTTTAGGGTTTAGGGTTTAGGGTTTAGGGTTTAGGGTTTAGGGTTTAGGGTTTACTCCTGCTTCGCCCCTGATGACCTGTGGGTTTAGCCGATGGTCCCCTTTTGAGGATCCCAGCTTTACTTCGGAGCCGCCTTTTTTCGTGGGGATACCTCCCAAAAAAGGGGACCAAACTCTACAACCCCCAACCCAAAAACGCCCAAAAGGGGACCTGATGTTTCGAGAGGTTCAAGGTTTAGGGTTTCGGGTTAAGGGGTTTAAGGGACTTTATGTTTAGAGAGGTTTCAAGGTTTAGGGTTTCGGGTTAAGGGGTTTAAGGGACTTTATGTTTAGAGAGGTTTCAAGGTTTAGGGTTTCGGGTTAAGGGGTTTAAGGGACTTTATGTTTAGAGAGGTTTCAAGGTTTAGGGTTTCGGGTTAAGGGGTTTAAGGGACTTTATGTTTAGAGAGGTTCAAGGTTTGGGGTTTCGGGTTTAGGGGTTTAAGGCTTCGGTTCCCTCCACTCGGCACTGTTCGGTCCTTTCTCGCCCGCCGAGGCGATTGCTGCGCGAGCCTGGGACTGGCAGGGGGACTCTTGGGATTCTGGGACCCTAAACCCTAAACCCTAAACCCTAAACCCTAAACCCTAAACCCTCAACCCTAAACCCGAAACAACAGGAAATAACCATACACAGAGGTTGCAAGCTACAGAGCCCAGGGGCAGATTGAGGCAACCCTAAGCCGAACACACTGCCCTCACATTGCCCTCACCGGCACCCGCCAATCGACATATCCAGACCGAACCCAGCAAGTCCAAGCAAGGACCGAGCCCGTGAGGAATGGATGGCGTTCGGATCCTGCTGCACTAGGGATCTGCAATGGATGGTTGGCTAGCGGACGATATATCCCAAGCCCTAACCCCACGCCCGAACGGTGTCTTGAGATAAGAGCTCGAGGGCCTGGGAGGCCTTGGGTTCATGAGACAGCAGGGCGTAGGGTCCAAGGTTTTACCTGCATGTACTTGCATGACTACAAAGCCTCGTACCCCCAAACCCTAAACCCAACACCCTCCTAGCTTCGAACACCATCGAACTTGCAGACTGAGGCGGCTTCGGGGTTTTAGGACGGCCAATGCGGCTTGGGAATCATAAGCCGTGCAGGTGACGTAGTCAAGCTGAACCATGCACCAGCGCGCTCGTTTCAGGTGGTCCTTGAGCAGGGTGACCCTCATGTCCACGGGCGTGTCATTGAAGGAAGGGATCCTAGTGTCTTCCACTCTGTGTCTTTCAGGGAGGAAGGGGCGGGTGGTCGTCGGGAGTACCATCTACAAAGTAACTTTTGAACGACCAGGTTTCCCGCAACAGTGAAATGCACTCCCTTTTGCCGATGAGGGTGTGGGCCTTAGAGGGTGAACCTTCAAACTCACCATTGAACCTTGCCTAAAATATTCTTCAATATCATCCCACCTAAACCCAACTCCAAAAAGGAATCCCAGGGGCCGACCGAGCCTACCTAGGAGGCCTGCACCCCGCTATCCCAGAAGCTCGGAAGCCCTGTTTGAGCTCAAATCCTGCTGAAAAGAAGACCTTGCCAAAGAATGTCCAGACATGCAAAGTCTGTGGGACATCTTCATGTCTTGCTTCCATGAGGACTCAGAGTCCACGTCCTTGCCACCCCGAGCTCGAATCCCAATACTTGCGCTGTGATGATACAGATCCTCGAAATCTGATGTTGGAACATCGCAATCAGACTAGTAACAGTCATACCTTTGCGCCATGGTATCAATAAGAATATGAGAGCAATGAGACGAATCAAAGACCTCAAGACCCCTAGCCCTACACGCCTACAGCCGCAGCCTTAACTCTTGAGGGTGCAGGGTTTAGGTCTTATAGGCTTTCGGGCTCTACACCCTCACAACTCAGAGCAATAGACGCCCGCCACTGAACAGTCCGGGGCACTAGGTCCTCTTGTCATGCAAGCGCCGGCTTCCTCAAGAGTGCTTCGTTCTTCTGGGCATTTTTGGGTTTAGGTTGCAAGCCGGGTCTAAGGGCTTTGGGGCTTTTAAGGGTTTAGGGGGGTTGCAGGGCTTAAGGGGCTGGGCTGAAGAAAGATTCCGAGAACACCGAAGGTGTGACCGGACGGTCTGAGGTGTCACCAGCCTTTTGCAGCAGATGCTGCACTCCACCGAAACGTATCCCCTGAAAGAGACTCCATCTTCCTCCCCTCCCCCCTTAAGCCCGCAAACCCAGCAGGGGTCGGAAAATGAGGATCTCGGTGCTCAGGCATCCCAGACCCTAAGCCCTAAGCGTTAGGGATGAACTTCTACAGTTGGGGTTTAGGGGGGTGGCTTAGGCAATGTATCCTCCCCTTTCTCGGCGACATAAGGTCCGAGACATGTCTGGGTTTACTTGCGGTCTGGGATTTAGGGTTGATTGCCTTGGGGTCAGAAGTTGAGGGCCAGTAGCATAGAGCTTCAGGGTAAGAGTCCAGAAGTGCCGCCCTTTATAATCCGTGAAGCCACTGCCACGATACATGGTGACCCACAGCAGCTGAACATGTGGCTCCTATTTCCAACTAGGATTTAGAATCTCTGCTCAAGCGCATAAACTCCACCCTCCAAGGCGCGGGTTTGGAATAGTGCCTTCTTTTAGTTTAGGGCCGCTTCGCCGCTCCCTCAACAAGTTCTGGCCTAAAAGTGTAAGGATAGGGCCCATTTTCAAGCCTAGAATCGACACCCTCAACCATGAAGCAACGAAGTTGAATTATGAATCTAGATCCTTGCCCAAGCAGAGGACACGCAGCCGACACATCAAACCCCCCCCCACCCCCCCCACCCCCCCAAAAAAAAAGTTGGGCGGTTTTCCCTAACTGTTGGCTGGGGGGCGGTGGGGGGCGGTGGGGGTTTGCGCTGGTTCGCTCACGCCAGCCTGGATCTTTTCGTGCCACGCATCAGCCAGGGGAACTTGCCGCGGACGCCATGACTGTTTCCTGCCAGGTTGGGATCTGAAATGGGTGGTCTGGGCAGAGATGCCTCTCAGGGGTTTAGGGGCTGTGCATAGAGCAATTTGGTCAGACCACGACCTCTGCTCCGAAACACCCTCCAATGTGACAAGTAGATGTGGGACTTGTGTCCCCCCATACAGAAATCCTACAGGAGCTCCACCAAGAAGGAGGGCAGAGTCTCCAGGCTTCTATAGCCTGTATTCAGGCATTCTATATACTATGTGGGGCGGAATTTCTACACAGCCGGCTTGTGGGTTCCCCTGGTCTTAGAGTCTTTGTTCAGCTCAGGAAAGCGACGCTGCCCGCCGAATTAATCTAACAGAGACTCACGGGCGGTTGCCGCTTTTCGCAGGTATCCTGCAGGGCCAACAGACCCTCGCCTCCATTCTCCACCTTGATGCCGGAGATGACCAATCTCTCTAGGGTCTCGTTCTGCTGCACCCCCTTTGCGAGGGCCAAGGCGCCCGCGTCCCCGATGTCGTTGTAATCCAAATCCAGGACCTGCAAGTGGCTGCCGGGCAGGGCTCCGGCCAAAATCGCGGCCTCGCTGTCGCCGATGTGGAGGCGAATCAGCTTCAGAACTTCGAGGCCGCGGCTGCAGTCGGGCAGCGCGCGGGCCAGCGCCTCCGCCCCGGCCTGCCCAAGGCGGGCGCTGCCACGACCTTCTCCGTCAGGACCCCTTAAGTACAGGAACCTGAGCTTGGCACTTGCCAAGTTCCGGAAAAGAGCAGCGGCGTCCTCGGCTTCCAGCTCGCAGTCAAGAATCTCGAGCCGATCAATCCAGGGCACTTGGAAGGCAAACTTCAGGCCGGCCGCGAGGAGGCCGCCCTGGCCTCGCAGGTCTTCATCTTCCCAGCGAAGAGCATCAGAATCAGGAAGTAGATCACCCATCATGGCGCTCATGAGGCATTGCCTGCAAATGCTCAGAGCCAGGTCATCCACGCTGCCCTCGAGCAGAACGTGCCCATTGTCTGACAGTTGTGTAAACCTGGCGCTGATGAGGGGCTCCAGCAGTCTGCTCTCTCTCGCAATCTTCCAGAGGAGCTCCTTATTGCCGAAATCCAGCTCCTTACCCAGTTTACGCGCAAGGGTCGGGTCGCCATCTTGGATGGCCGCGTCCAGCCGTTGGCCGTAGAACTTGGCCAGGCCCCTCTGGAGCCTGGGGAAAATGAAAAAAGACGTAAGGACTTGACCGGCTGGAACTCCGAGGTTCAGCAGTCCCACCAGCACGCTGCCGCCTTCGACGGCCAAGTAGATGATTGCGAGGCCCGCTTGTGGGACGTTCTCGACGAGCAGCATCGAACGTTTCGTCGGGGTGAGCTGCTTCGCGAGCAGCACCTTCAGCTTCTCCGACCAGCTAAGCTTGGACTTAGGAGAGGAAGCTCCGATGGTTGCGATTGAAAAGACCGACAAGTGGCTCGCAGCCAAATCCGCTAAAAAACGGTCCAGCCACATGAGGCGCAGGTGAAATATGATTAGGTACACCCAGCTCAGCCAGCCAACTACGTGCAGGCCGACTTTTGTCGACTGTAAGCACAGACCTCCAAAGAGCACGTCCTTTAACGTGTCGAAGGAGTCAGATACGAAAGGGCAAACGCCGGAGAACATCGCCTCTGCAAAGGCCGTCGGGGGGTATCCTCGTCCGGGCTCCAGGACGAATGCTGCCACTGAGGCCTGCGCAAGCATCCACAAGCACGCAGCTGACAGGAGTATCACGTAGGACTCCCACAACAACCCGGTTTCCTTCGACAAGCTGCTGTCGACAATGCCCGCCACTGTGACGCCCAAGCATAGACCGACTGTGCAGGAGAAGACGGCCAGAACCTGGCGGAATCTGCGCTGTGACGACACCGGGACGGGTGATGGTGTGCTCTGCTGGGTGGAAGGCATGGTAAGGTGCACGTCGCTGATACCGGCGCCGGTAGCTGTGGCACCCACAGGGTCGGGCTCCAGCCTGGCGCGCTCGGGTGGAGTTTTTCGGAAGCTCCGCCACGTTGCGATCTGCAGGATGGCCGTTCCAAGCACGAGCGTGGAGCCAGCGATGCCCGCCAGCACGGGCAGGTGCTCCTGGGCACGGCGGTCAATGCCTGCCATTTGCAGGACGTCCTCCACATGGCTCTCAGTGGCGTTGCTGGTGTTCATCCGGGCAAAAAAAGGGAAAGACCCTCACCTTCGGGGGAGGCGCCCTTTTGTGTGAAACCTTGCGGCTGCGTCCTCCTCTTGGGCCTAGAATCTAAGAAGGGTTGAAAACCCAAAGTGGACACTTCCAAGAAAAGATGGGCCCAGGATGTTTCGAAACCCTACAACCCTAAACCAACAAGGCCTAAAAGGGGACCTTCTGTTCAACAAGGGGACTTCATGTTTGTTCAGGTATTGGGTTTGGGGTTTGGGGGTTTATGGTAGAGGGTTTAGGGGGCCCCCAACAAGGTTCGCTCCGCTTTTCGGTCCTTTCTCGCCGAAGCGATTGCTGCGCGAGCCTGGGGATGGCGCAGGGAACTTTTGGGATTCTGGGACCCTGAACACTAAACCCTAAACCCTACTAAACCTTTTCTGAAATCGTTTATGAAAAGCTTTTTCTGTAGGGGTTAAGGGACGAACGGGTTTAGGGCTTCAAGCTTCAGGTGAGTCGCTTAATTGCATGCTTGGATTCGGACTCTCGTACTACGACTAAAAGTTGAGGGAAGCCATATAAACCCTAACCTTAAACCTTTGCTGGGGCGCCCCTGTAGCTTGCAACCTCTGCAAAGGGTATTTCCAAAATGGGGGGGTACCCGGGATACCCCCTTTTATACCCGCAGATAGAACAGAATCCCCTTAAAAGGCACACCCCCCCCCCCCCCCCCCAAAAAAAAAAAAAAAAAAAGTACCCCCCCATATTCGGAAACCCCTCCATATGGCTTTCGTGAATTGCAGCTTGGGCCTGAGCTTCTTAAGACTGAAACTTAAACTTCCATGTCGGGTTGAAGTTGAGGGCGTGTCAGAAACGTTGTGCGTCCTGGTCTTTCTGCCGAAACCAAAAACGGCCATTTGAAGGGAACCTATAGAGAACTATGTGTACGCAGCCCTTTGCAAGAAACAACTTCAAGAAGAAGCTGTGAAGCCCAAGCCCCAAACCCCCAACTTCAAGCAGCCATGGCCCAAAATCAAAATTCTAAAGCCTCAGCCAACCCTAAACCTAACACATTGCCCCCACCAGCCCCAGCCGATCGACATATCCAGACCGAACCCAGCAAGGCCAAGCGAGGACCGAGCCCGTGAGGAATGGATGGCGTTCGGATTCGCAGAATCCCGCGGCACTTGGGATCTGCAACATGCCTCTTTGGCTTCTGCGGACGATATGTCCCAAACCCTGCCCCCGAGCCCGAATCGGTGTCTTGGGATAACTTACTGTTGGTTCGCAGGGAATGGGGGAATGAGATACCCCGTATAATCCCTTAAAGGGTATATATATATATATATATAGGGCCCTCATTCCCTCATTCCCTGCTGACCAACAGTAGGAGCTCGAGGGCCTTGGAGGCCTTCCGGGGGGTCTAGGGCGTTTTGGGTTCCGGAGACAGCGGGGCGTAGGGTCCAAGGTTTAACCTGCATGTACTTGCATGCTACAAAGCCTCGTGCCCGAGCCCTAAACCCTAAACCCTAAACCCTAAACCCTAAACCCTAAACCCTAAACCCTAAACCCTAAACCCTAAACCCTAAACCCTAAACCCTAAACCCTACACCCTCGCTTCGAACATCATCGAACTTGCAGGCTGAGGTGGCTTCGGGGTTTAAAGAGAGGGTTCTTAGGACGGCCGATGCGGCTTGGGAATCATAAGCTGCACAGGTGACGCAGTCAAGCTGAAGCATGCAAGAGAATGCTCGTTTCAGGTGGTCCTTGACCCGGGGTGACCCTCATGTCGACGGGCGCGTCGTTGAACGGAGGGATCCTCGGAAACAGATGTCTTCCAAACACTCAGGGAGGAGGGGGCGGGTGTTCGTCGGGAGTACCATCTACAAAGTAACTTTTGAACGACCAGGCTCCCCGCAACAGTGAAATGCCCTCCCTTTTGCCGATCAGGGTGTGGGCCTTAGAGGGTGAACCTTCAAACTCACCCTTGAACCTTGCCTAAAAAATTCTTCAATATCATCCCACCTAAACCCAACTCCAAAAAGGAATCCCAGGGGCCGACCGAGCCTACCTAGGAGGCCTGCACCCCGCTATCCCAGATCGGAAGCCCTGTTTGAGCTCAAGTCCTGAAAAGAAGCCCTTGCCAAAGAACATCCAGACATGCAAAGTCTGTGGGACATCTTCATGTCTTGCTTCCATGAGGACTCAGAGTCCACGTCCTTGCCACCCCGAGCTCGAATCCTAAAACTTGCGCTGTGATGATACAGATCCTCAAAATCTGATGTTGGAACATCGCAATCAGACTAGTAACAGTCATACCTTTGCGCCATGGTATCAATAAGAATATGAGGGCAATCAGACGAAGCAAAGACCTCAAGACCCCTAGCGCTACACTCCTACAGCCGCAGCCTTAACTCTTGAGGGTGCAGGGTTTAAGGCCTTTTTGGCTTTCGGGCTCTTCACCCTCACAACTCAGAGCAATAGACGCCCGCCACTGAACAGTCAGGGGCACTAGGTCCTCTTGTCATGCAAACGCCGGCTTCCTCAAGAGTGTTTTGTTCCCTTGGCATTGGTTTAGTTTGCAAGCCGGGTCTAAGGGTTTTGGGATTTGAGGGGTTAGGGGATTGCAGGGCTTAAGGGGCTGGCATGACGAAAGACCCGAGAACACCGAAGGTGTGACCGGACGGTCAGCCTTTTGCACCAGATGCTGCACTCCACCGAAACGTATCCCCTGAAAGAGACTCCATCTTCCTCCTCTCCCCCCTTAAACCCGCAAACCCAGCAGGGGTCGGAAAATGAGGATCTCGGTGCTCAGTATCACCCCAGACCCTAAACCCTAAGTGTTAGGGATGAAGGCCTACAGTTGGGGTTTAGGGGGGTGGCTTGCGCAATGTATCCTCCCCATTCTTGGCGACATAAGGTCCGAGACATGTCTGGGTTTACTTGGGGTCTGGGATTTAGGGTTGATTGCCTTGGGGTCAGAAGTTGAGTGCCAGTAGCATAGAGCTTCAGGGTAAGAGTCCAGAAGTGCCGCCCTTTATAATCCGTGAAGCCACTGCCACGATACATGGTGACCCACAGCAGCTGAACATGTGGCTCCTATTTCCAACTAGGATTTAGGATCTCTGCTCAAGCGCATAAACTCCACCCTCCAAGGCGCGGGTTTGGAATAGTGCCTTCTTTTAGTTTAGGGCCGCTTCGCCGCTCCCTCAACAAGTTCTGGCCTAAAAGTATAATAAGGACAGGGCCTTTTTTTACAAGCCTAGAATCGACACCCTCAACCATGAAGCAACGAAGTTGAATTATGAATCTAGATCCTTGCCCAAGCAGAGGACACGCAGCCGACACATCAAACCCCCCCCCACCCCCCCCACCCCCCCAAAAAAAAAGTTGGGCGGTTTTCCCTAACTGTTGGCTGGGGGGCGGTGGGGGGCGGTGGGGGTTTGCGCTGGTTCGCTCACGCCAGCCTGGATCTTTTCGTGCCACGCATCAGCCAGGGGAACTTGCCGCGGACGCCATGACTGTTTCCTGCCAGGTGGGATCTGAAATGGGTGGTCTGGGCAGAGATGCCTCTCAGGGATTTAGGGGCTGTGCATAGAGCAATTTGGTCAGACCACGACCTCTGCTCCGAAACACCCTCCAATGTGACCAGTAGATGTGGGACTTGTGTCCCCCCATACAGAAATCCTACAGGAGCTCCACCAAGAAGGAGGGCAGAGTCTCCCAGGCTTCTATAGCCTGTATTAAGGCATTCTATATACTATGTGGGGCGGAATTCCTACACAGCCGGCTTGTGGGTTCCCCTGGTCTTAGAGTCTTTGTTCAGCTCAGAAAAGCGAAGCTGCTCGACGAACTATTCTAATAGAGTGTCACGGGCGGTTGCCGCTTGTTGCAGGCATCCCGCAGGGCCAACAGACCCTCGCCTCCATCCGCCAGCTTGTTGCGTAAGATGGACAACCTCTCTAGGGTCTCGTTCTGCTGCACCCCCTTTGCGAGGGCCAAGAAGCCCGCGTTCCTTCCCGATGTCGTTCTGACGCAATTCCAGGACCTGCAAGTGGCTGCTAGGCAGGGCTCCGGCCAAAATCGCGGCCTCGGCATCGCCGATGTGGAGGCGATTCAGCGTGAGACCTTCGAGGCCGCGGCTGCAGTCGGGCAGCGCGCGGGCCAGCGCCTTCGCCCCGGCCTGCCCAAGGCGGGCGCTGCCACGACCTTCTTTGTCAGGACCCACTAACTCCAGGCGACTGAGCTTCGCACTTGCCAAGTTCTGAAAAAGAGCGGCGGCGTCCTCAGCTTGCAGCTCGCAGTTAATAATCCAGAACCGATCAATCCAGGGCACTTGGGAGGCAAAATTCAGGCCGGCCGCGAGGAGGCCGCCCTGGCCCCGCAGGTCTTCATCTTCCCACCAAAGAGTAGCTCGTCGCAATAGATCACTCATGGCACTCATGAGGCATTGCCTGCAAATGCTCAGAGCCAAGTCATCCACGCTGCCCTCCACCAGAACGTGCCCATTGTCTGACAGTTGTGTAAACCTGGCGCTGATGAGGGGCTCCAGCAGTCTGCTCTCTCTCGCAATCTTCCAGAGGAGCTCCTTACTTTCAAAATCCATCTCGGTACCCAGTTTACGCGCAAGGGTCGGGTCGCCATCTTGGATGGCCGAGTCTAGCCGTTGGCCGTAGAACTTGGCCAGGCCCCTCTGGAGCCTGGGGAAGATGAAGAAAGACGTAAGGACTTGGGCGGCTGGAACTCCGAGGTTCAGCAGTCCCACCAGCACGCTGCCGCCTTCGACGGCCAAGTAGATGACTGCGAGCACCGCTTGTGGGACGTTTTCGACGAGCAGCATCCAGCGTTTCGTCGGGGTGAGCTGCTTCGCGAGCAGCACCTTCAGCTTCTCTGACCAGCTTAGATTGGACTTAGGAGAGGAAGCTCCGATGGTGGCGATTGAAAAGACTGACAAATGGCTCGCTGCCAAATCCGGTAAAAAACGGTCCAGCCACATGAGGCACAGGTGAAATATGATCAGGTACACCCAGCTCAGCCAGCCAACTACGTGCAGGCCGACTTTTGTCGACTGTAAGCACAGACCTCCAAAGAGCACATCCTTTAACGTGTCGAAGGAGTCAGATACGAAAGGGCACACGCCGGAGAACATCGCCTCTGCAAAGGCCGTCTGGGCGTATCCTCGTCCGGGCTCCAGGACGAATGCTGCCACTGAGGCCTGCGCAAGCATCCACAAGCACGCAGCTGACAGGAGTATCACGTAGGACTCCCACAACAACCCGGTCTCCTTCGACAAGCTGCTGTCGACAATGCCCGCCACTGTGACGCCCAAGCATAGACCGACTGTGCAGGAGAAGACGGCCAGAACCTGGCGGAATCTGCGCTGTGACGACACCGGGACGGGTGATGGTGTGCTCTGCTGGGTGGAAGGCATGGTAAGGTGCACGTCGCTGGTGCTGGTGCCGGTAGTTGCGGCACCCAGAGCCTCGGGCTCCGGGAGCCGGGCGTGCTCGGGTTCAGCTTTTCGGAAGCTCCGCCACGTTGCGATCTGCAGGATGGCTGTTCCAAGCACGAGGGTGGAGCCAGCGATGCCCGCCAGCACGGGCAGGTATTCCTGGGCACGGCGGTCAATGCCTGCCATGTGCAGGACGTCATCCACATGGCTCTCAGTGGCGTTGCTGCTGTTCATCCGGGCAAAAAAAGGGAAAGACCCTCACCTTCGAGTGAGGCCCCCTTTGGTGAAACCTTTGGGCTGCGTCCTCCCTTTGGGCTGCGTCCTCCCTTTGGGCCAGAGAATGGGTCTTTTCAGCGCGGCATGAATGCAGGTCTCGGCGTCGCAACTTAGCTGCATCCTCTTCAGCAAGTGCGGGTACCTCACGAGTTCGGTCAAGCTGTCGTCCTTTTCTGTGGTCCCGTGTTGCTCTCGGATTTCAGTGTCGCAAACCCGCTGGTTTGAGCTCGGTTTTGGGGGCGTCCTGCGGAGCCCCTCAGCGCCTGTGCCAAAGAAACCCTCAAGGCCAAGCACCCAAAGCCCCCACACAACTGAAGGTTCATATGCGATCTCGGGCTTAGGGTCTGTACAGGCCTTCTACAGGGTTTAAGGTTTATGTAGGGTTTACGTTTAAGGTTTATAAGGGCTTAGAGTTTAGGGTGTAGGGTCTAGAGGGCATAAAGCTGAAGCTCCACACACGCGCGCACGACCCAACAAAAACCCTTGTTGCAATCTTGGGGCTCCGGCGATGAAGTATGCCGCGGCCGGGGTCGGCGGGACTCATCATGGAGGGCCCTACTGTACCACACTACCGACCCCCAACACAAGGGAGCCTAACGGGGCCGAACAAGAAGAGGGTGTTGGGTTCTTCGTAAGCATGAGATCTTTGGAGAGGCAAGGTCGGCCTTTAGCAGATCTTCTTGTGTGGCGAAATCCACTTACCATCACTAGAATGCCGCGTGGCCTGGAAACCAACTTCATGCAAACTTCAACCCAAATAGCTCCCACGGTATTCTATCAGATGACAGGGATGCCGAGACGTGGTGAGCCACAAAGCTGCGCGAAGTCTTCCCGATTGCCAGGCTCCGCCCTGCATCTAGCAGATGTCAGGAGCGAAGAGGAGACGTGTAAAATGCATAGTCCTCCAGAAGAGAAGCCTAAGGGTCCATGTACCTATATAGGGAGTACTTGGGCCTTAGAGTACCTCCTATACAGGGACTTTGGGGCCCAAGTATTCCCCCATTTAGGTACCATGGACCCTTAGGGGAAGCCTAAACAAACCTATGACCCTACACCCTAAGCCCTAAACCCTAAACTATGAACCCTATACCCTAAACTACGTGTTTGTTCCTCAAAGTTGCTCTGCAAAGTATGCAGACTAAAAGGGGCTTGCAGGGTTTTTGGGGTTTTGGTGATAATATGTGGGCATGTCCAAGGAGGGGACGTGTTGGGGCCGACCCCTCCCTATTTGAGGAAAAGAAACACATGCAAACCTTAAATACACTAAACCCTAGAAACCCTACAAACCCTATACAAACCCCTATAAACCCTATCAACCCTATCAACCCTCTAAACCCTAAACCCTAAAAAGCCTAAACTAAAACCCCCAAAACCCAAAAACCCTAAAAACCCTATAAACCCTACAGGGTTGCAGCTAAAGCTTCCGAGGTCTTCCTTTTTTCTCGCGGGAAGGCCAAAGGCCCCAGGTGAGGTGCCGCGCGTCTTGCTGACACTGCCCCGAGACGCCAGGGTGCATGAAAAGAGCACGCGATATTTGAACAGCAATAAGAATAGTAACAACCAGAACGGCGCTAACAGTAATAGTACATATACATTTATACGTTTATATGCTTATTTTGATTTGTAAGTATAATGAGCAAGAATGAGGAATCACTAGCAAGACCACGCTGACAATCTTAAAGATGATGCGCAGACAACGGGAGTTTCAAAGCCTGAGTCGGAACCTCAAAGAGGTGGAGGCATCAGACTTTATCGCAGAACCACCCTTGCAAACCCATATCTTGGTAGCCCAGCAACCATACTATGATAAGGGCACACATACTATGATAAGGGCACCCTTTGTTTTGGGTTGGTGACTTTAGAACTCAAAAAAGGGTAAAGGGTACCACTGGGCTGCAAAGATAATAATATGATGTGAGCCAACTTGCCGTGCTCGGTCATCCACGGACGTCCCGGGCCCCCGCAAGACCAGGGGGCCGTCCTGCTGGCCCTTCGACTTCGGGCAGCGTTGAGGAACTTGGGGTGTGTAATATGGGTACTCTCATGGGTCTACCACCCCAAACCCTAAACCCTAAACCCTAAACCCTAAAACCTAAACCCTAAACCCTAAACCCTAGCAGGCGTGGGTGGAACTTTGACGCAGTGGGGCTTCCTTGTAATCTCGCCCGACATGGAAGGGGCCAGCAGGAATTTGGGGCAAGGGAAGTGTGTCCTTTCGGTTCGAGTGCGGGGGCACTTTGAGTGAGTCTACCATGGCTCGCCGAGGGTTTCGCGATGTTAGACGACTACCAGGAGCAAAGCCTAAACCCTAAACCCAGATACCTTACAATGTGACGAGAAATGCAGAATTGCATATTTTATGTTCATGCTTGTAACTTTGGTCGTGATGCGAGGAAAGTTAGTTGCGTTCAGGATTCTGATCACCCCGCAACAACATGACTGGATCCAACCTTTGCTTGGGTCCCTAGGGTTTAGGGTTTAGGGTTTAGGGTTTAGGGTTTAGGGTTTAGGGTTTAGGGTTTGGGGGCTAGAGCCCCTCTCCCCCCCGGCGAGCCTGTCAAGAGCCTGAGATTTCAAATGGCCACGCCAAGTGTGGAGATAAGCTATCGTGCTCACCACCGTGGGCGCTCAATGGTCCGGACGCTGAGCCATGATGAGGTTTCTCACTTTTCTAGATGTCTTCGCAGCCGGCAGGAGCTTTCGTATGACAAACCTGTAAACCCTACAACGCCTGCAGAAATCTAGCTCTATTGAGAGGCAGGCCAAAGCCCAAAACAACCTAAATCTCGTGGTTCAAGGGGGCTTCGGAGCTCCGTCTCGGAAAAAACGAAGGCCTCAAAAAAAGTAACAACAAAATAGTAAAAGCAATGCCCTGTACAATCTTGAGGTCCTAAAACTAAAACCATGGAACCTAAGCCGCGGGATCCTCGAAAGCTGCCAAGGCCAAGGCCCCAGACCCCTACTCTCCAAGGCCTAGCCTATGCATCCTATCTTAATCCCTGTTCCCCGAGGAAGAAAAAAGGATCCTTTTTGTTTATATATAAGAAAGCCCATAACCCAAAAAGTAAAAAGGATCCCTAACACTGATCTAGCTATACCCGTTACCGAAAGACTTTGGGGCTCGCGGTGTGTAGGTTGAATAGGGTTTGAGACTGGTTTGGGGCTTAGGGTTTAGGCTGTGTTAAGAGGATATGCCTTTTGCTCGACAGGAGCACAATGCCTGGAGAACTTGTGAGCCACAATCAAAACTCCTCGAATGGCGCCGGAGAAGACGCCAAACATGGGAAGCAAAATCGATTCCTTCGGATGTCGGAGTTCTGACTATGGCCCTTGTCGACTCTTTTGTCGAGCGCCGCAGGCCTCTGCTTGCAGAGGGAAAAGATAAGAGGCCTATGGCCTGGGAATTTTTCGAGGAGGGCAAGCACAAAGGTACCTGCCCTCAGCTGGGGCAGAACAGGGTAAGCCTCAAGCACCACGCTCGCCCAATCAGCGCTTGTGGCCGGAGTTCCCTGCACTGCTACTCCAACTAAACCAGGAAGGGCCGGTAGATGATGAGCCAGCAGATGTGCTTCGACATCGAAGCTTCGGGACACCTCAAATATCGTGATGTTGATTGCCCGCTGGCCTCCCTCCGGCTCTTCCTGGGGGTCTCCACTTTGGGTGTTTGCCAAGGCCCAGAGACATCTCACATATGAAGTACGGTATATATCTTTTACCCTTAAAAGGACACCAGGCATATACACTCACCAGTATTAAAAGGGAACCGTATATGCACTCAGCAAGAACAGTAATATCAACCCTGTTTCATATCCCTCCCAAACCGGTACAGTTCGCGCCGTTTTGGGCCCGACAGGAGCCATAAGAAGCTTAGAATGGTATTGATTAGCACGCCTCTCCAGTTGTGTAAGAAGTGCGGTTGAGGGCTTCGGGCCCCAATGACCTACTACGTTTGGGAGGTTATACCCCAGAGAAGGCGTGACCCACGAGTTTGGGGTGTGTCAGGGGGTTCGCAACATGAGGGAAAGCCAGCTATCAAATCTGACCTCCACTGTGGCAAACGCCTCTGAAACCCTAAACCCTATAAACCCTAAACCCTTAAACCCTTAAAACTTAAACCCTTAAACCCTTAAACCGCTAAACCCTTAAACCCTAAACGCTGATGTTTGGCAAGCACCGGCTTCCCGTTGGTGGCAGCCCTCCCTACGCTGCGCGGCCGCTTCAGAGGGGGACAGCAGTCGACATCCACCGGACGCGCTGCGTAAGCAGGCTATAGAGGCGCTTCTCAGGGATCAGGGTTTGGTGTAGGGCTTAGGGCAATTGCCTTTTGAGGCAGGAGTCGTTTAGGACCGTCGAGGGAACGTCGGGGGCTTTAAGAGCAATACGTTTGTGCATAAAGAGATTTCATGTACAGACACCAAAGTTCGAAAGTTTAGATGAAACATCAAAAAGGGTACCCCTATTTTCGGAAACCCTCATATGAACCACCCCAAACCCTAAACCCTAAACCCCAAACCCTAAACCCTAAACCCTAAACCCTAAACCCTAAACCTTAAACCCTAAACCCTAAACCCTAAACCCTGTAAACCCTAAACCCTGAATTGCCGGGCGGTTGCCGTGCTGGCCCCCCACTCAGACGAAGAGCGACGGTCTCGGGCCTGAGTGCAGACTCTAGCTAGCAGCGGGCCCTTCCAAGCACCCTGTTACCCCTAAACCCTAAACCCTAAACCCTAAACCCTATAAACCCTAAATCCTAAACCCTAAACCCTAAACCCTAAACCCTAAACCCTAAACCTCCTAAACCCTAAAAGGGTTCGGGGCTTCCGGTGGGCTTGAGGGGAGCTTTGGAGCTGCTAAGGTTGAATTCGTCTGCGGCTCGCTAGAATACCGGACCCGAGCCCAAAACACCCACAGCATTACGAGGCAACTTCTTAAGTTGCCCTTTAAAAGCCCTATAGAAG